TCACAACATGAACTCATAGATATCACCATGAAACTTCACCACTTCATTACTCACATTAAGAGTATTTATTGTATTACAAGTTTTCTGAAATGTTATGTTTAAATATGCAAATGAGGCGTTATGTAAAGGTAACTTTTAGTGAATTTAGGAGAAATCTACAGACACAAAAAAACAAACCCTAAATGTGTATTTGGGATGTTTTCTTTCACTAGTCTGAAAGAAGACGTGTTATTGAAGCTAAATAAACCAAAGGTCTATGAAAGAGCTTTCTAGGAAATCCTGTTTCTTTTTAAAGGCACAGATGGTCTGAGTACAGGAAGCAACCGTTGAGACTGATTCGTGAGTTTGTCGGAGCTCTTATGAGTACTGAACCTGATGCCTGTTCTCATGAGTCACATCTTTAACTTGGGCCTCTCTCACTTGTGTTTTAGAACCTTTTAACATTATTTCCAATGTGTGTCCAGCAGTGAATTAAACATCTAGATCTCTGTAAGTTTACAGAACTAAGAATTAAGTCAAATATGTGTCCAAACACAATGGTATCAATGGCAGCTGAGTCTAAGAGTGCTTCTTGTGTGAGGTCACTTTAGGTTAATTCTATTCCTCTCCTCCTACTTCCATTGTCTCCTCTTTGTGCGCTTCCATTCTCTCAAACCTGTCTTGACCCTGAAGGCCTTGTTACTCAGGCTGCATGTGAGACACGGCTCGTCTCAGTGTTTGGAGACTCTGCTGAAGAGAGATAACACTCTGCTTACAGATCAGAAAGGGCCACTCTTCCTTCCTCGTCGCTTCCTCTCTCTTTGTGTGTTGTTTTTACTCTGCTATCCCTCTCTATCTGCCCGTACATCGGAGTCCTACGCGATGCTTCTGCTTGATTTATTTTTCCCGTCTTTCTCTGCCCTTTTACACGTCTTTTGTGTTTTCCTCGCCGTTTTAATGAGTGTTCTGCTGAGCTGTGGAACAAGAGAGCCGAACCAAGTCAACGCCCAGTGTACACTCTTCCTTTGGACATTTGCCAGGCGTCCATTTGTTTTAATCACCAAAATAGCTCTTTGAACTCCATCTGTATTCTGGCTGTAAAATATTTAAACAGAGGTATTGTTTTTGGTTTCTGCTTGCTCTCTCCAGGGATTCTAATGGGAGGCTTTATCAAGATCATTGAGTTCCAGGAACTGGCCAACTGGAAGGTATAGTATGACTCCATGTTCACACCCTGCCTCGCTGCTCTTTGTGTCCACAATAAGAGGCCGCAGGGTTGACGTGTGTTTGTGGGCCAACCGGAAGTACGACACACTAGTTCCCTCCACATAAAGCCAGTGGGATTGTTCTGTTAGATTTTGGATTAATCCAGAAAATAACCTCAGTGGCTACAAGCGTTTATGACACTTAAACGTTTCGTTCATCGAGATAGTCTTCACAAATAAACACTTTTCTGATGTTTGAAGTGTATAAAGGAACTCCACCACGGTCACATGACTTCACGTCTCCACCACTAAGCTAAAGGAGGACGAGTGCTCTAGTGAGGACGCTTGGTCTCATTTACACATTTTTTTAAATTTATTTATTTTTTTTATTTTTTTTTTAAGACGCGTAGAAGCTTTTAAACTCATCAGATGTATTTCATATCGTAGAAGAAATGGTTTAAATCTCTCCAGCTCGTGTTGAACACAGACCAGATTTCAGGCATCTCACCCAAAAACCCATCGAGGGAACGGGAAGATGCAAAAATGCTCATTTGTGGGTATTTGGACTCATTCCTGCAGCACTCTATTAACACACAGTTAATGCTGCTTAATTTGCTTTCATTGGTTTAGCACGAGGCAACGCAGCCACATTCCTCCACACATCTCACGCACACAGACAAAACACAGAACATATGCAGTACGTGACACATGAGTCACATCCATGAAGCTGCACCTCCACTGCATTTTTCATGTCAACTGCAATTTACAGGGTGGGGACAAACGTGTTTTAGCTTATTGAAAACATAATGCAGAGAATATCACCACCTCTAATGTGTCTAATAGTTCTAATGTGATGCAAAGTCCCACATCATACGGGAACTCCCCGCCCACCCCCAACCCAATAACCCTCTACCATCTCTGTGCTGTAGAATTCCATCTCTTTTTTTTCTTACTCATTTCCTGGCCTCTGTTTTTTGTCACAAATATCATCTCCCCTCTCGACTCTGTTACCTACCCATAATAACTATCTCTCCTTCCCCCCCTGTGTCCCTATGAGCCCCCCTGTTTCCTCTCCTCTCAGTTCTCACAGCCTTTAATTAACATTCCTTGTTCTCTGCCAGCGAGTGAAAGAACGAATGAACAAGAGATGTAGATGCAGAGTGAGGGGAGGGGGGGGGGGCAGAAAAGAGGACAGGTTGTGTCAATGTTTCTTGCACACTGGGGCCCATTGTTTTTATCCTGGTGGCCCCCCGGGTGTTGCTGAGTCCTCGGCATTACTAGTAACCGGAGCCCCTCTCCCTTCTGTCCTGTGACTCTCTAGATCACCCCCCCTCTCTGTGTGTGCACTCCCTCCTGCAAAAACGCGAGGCGCATAGAGCGGGACGTCTTAAAGCTGCATTCTCTCTAGTGTCCACCAGGGGGCGACTCC